ATTAGGATTTCAAGTGTTATAATTTTTCCAAAAAATTTTTCTAAAAAATAGTGACAATACTTCTGACTCTGAAACTCAATCTATTCTTTATAAGAATAATTCAAAATGTTCAAAACACATTCAAAATCAATATTTTTCCTTGTAAATATTACAATAATATCTCTCAACATTTTCAACGATCACACACAATTTGGTGAAGACATTAATGAAATATTAAAAATCTATATGCAATAAATATAAAATATTTAATATTAATATAATTGAAATGAATCTTTAATATTTTTTTAGTATCCATCATAATAAATAATAATAAAATTTATTGTATTTTTAGATGTATTAACATTCACACATTAACAGTCATCAGTAGATCTAATATTTCTATAGCAAAATAAAAATGCTTATTTATTTTCGAACTTTTAGAAATTGAAATATACTTTTTAATGCAAATATACATATATGCTAAAATGCATTATTTTTTCAAATTTTAACTGAAAATCTTTGAAAAACTTTAAACACGAGGTATCAAATAGGTTTCAAGATACAAAAAAATTTATGTTACCGAATGTATACATAATTTATAATTATGTTATAATATAATTCAATGTTATTAATGAAACTAATGAATAGAAAATCTGTCATAAGATTGATCAAAGAATATTTAATAAAATTATAATAAAAATGGCGTTATTCAAAATCACAAAAAAATCTAGCTGGCAAAATTTCAATTTCTCTATTTAAAAAACATTCGCAAACAAGCAAGAATGCCAAACGAATATTAAAATAAATATGTGTAGGAAATTTTTAATATAAAATTACCTAAATAATAAATAATTGCAATTAGAAACACTGAGAAACTCATAATTTCATGTTCTCAAGAAATTCCAATTATCCTCGAAAACCACCCTCATTCCCCGATATCTCGCTCGAAACCGTGACATTGAAATGAGGCATTGTAGTAATAGTTGACTCATAATTCGCGGATTGTTCCAATTTTACTCTCGACCAAGAACGATATTTATATAGGGAAGGTTTTGCCTGAGTTTTCCTAACGAGCTGACTCAGCCAATCTTGCTGCTTCATCGCCTGCAAAATCACGAAATTAGAAATCTGCGGCCTAAAATCGTTCCTCCGGTACAATGACCAAAAGACATGCGATTGATCATTGACATGAATTTCAACTCTAAAATTTGTTCTTTTTTATTTTTTATATTTTTTATATATTTTATTTTATTATATTTATTATATTTATTAAATTTTTATATCTTAATTCCTTAATTTCGGTAATTTCATTTAAGATTTTTTGATAATGACAATTAATAGATTGCGAATGTTTATATATATATACAAATATTATATATGACAAATATGCGAAAAATATATGACATTTATACATGAAAAATATATAAATATATTTGGAAAATTTTTCTAACATTTATAATATAATATAATATATAACATAATATAAGATAAAATATCAATATATTAATATTAGATATTATTAATAGGATAATAGATATTAATATAATTTAATACTTAATAATTAAATATGATTTAAATTTTTTATTTATATTTAAATTTTAAACGTAATATTAAATATAAACAATCATTACAATATAACAATATGATTTATATTGTGGTATACAATAAAAATTTATACTTATACAACAAATTACAACAAATTACAAATATTTTCTTTAAATTCGATGGTGTTAATTGACAATGTTTATAGATAAGAATTTATCAAAAATTTTTATGTTAAAATACGATGTTATCAGTATTATAATTTTATTAGTATAAATTTGGCAATATAATTTATATTTTATTCATTACTTTCGTAATGAATGAAAATGAAATCATCTTTAACCTAGTTTTTTCCTAATAATATTCTATTTCTTTAGCATTTTAAATATCGAAAAATATTTTTAAAAAATTTAATTCATCATTGTGACAATTACATTGAATTTTTATATTGAAATTCAAAATTATAAACTATTACATTTAATTAATAACTCAATTAACAAGAATACAAAAACACAATTAATAATCAGTATTGATTACATATTATTATTATCGATATTACATAATTATAATATGAAAATTTATTGACAGACAAAATCAATTTAATGAAAAAAATATTTTATATAAGTATGACATAATACATTTATACGGATAATAATATATGTATGTATATTTTCAGATATATTTTTAAGCATATATATGAAAAATATGCCTTATGCAAAGAATGCAAAATAAAAAATATATTTTTCAAATCCTTCAATCACAAAACATTTCCATTCATATTTAATTTTATTCATTTTCTATCAAAAGATACATTTGTATATTTTTATAGATATCTATTAATTAGTTAAAAATAAAAAGATAGAAATATTCAGAATTATTAATTATTTTATAAGTTACAATAAAATTGATAATAAATAGTTTTCAAAATTGTATGAATCTCAATTTTGCAATTTTGAAAATTCATAATGTTATAGGAATGCTATTTGAAATAAAAAAATTAAGTTCACTCTAATTCTCACTAGATATAAAATAAAATTTGATAAAAAGACATTTTTGATATCTTAATTTTAAAAACTTAAACTTAATTTTAAAAACTTTAAAATTAAAACGAATATATTATTATATTGGGAATGATTCTTTTATATTTTCTTTATAATAATATTTTATAATGAAGTCAAAAATGAGAATATAGTATATAGTTGGATTAAAGGACAGATAATAAAATATCTTATAATTTTGTAAATAAACTTTTGTATAAATATGTTAATTTTTTTAAGATTTAATCTTAACTTTCTTCAATACATTCATTAAATTTTTGTTCAATTATTAACTTTTTATTTGTGATTAACTAATTAAAATTAACTTCAATAAAAAGTATATAATAAAAAGTAAGTTCAAAAAGTTTATAAAACTCAATTGTAATTAATACTAAAAAATAAAATACCTATAAAAAATATATATAAAAAATTGTTAATGCATTAACATTTACTTCTTTGTATTTAGCAATTTTTCAGCAATTAAAAAAATGAATCTATAAATATCTAAAGAAATTTATAATATCATTTACATATGATAAACAGTATCTATTTTCTGATAGATATTAAAAAATACAAAAATATAAAAATTATCGATACGATTCACTTCTTTTACATGGATATTTCTAAATAATATCCATCTATCTCTCAATTAAAAAAGTAAAATCTTAAAAAAACATCTATAGATAACTTCTAAGATCTTACTTGATTCATATTTTATTTATTATATATTATTATTGTTATTTTTATTTTATTTATTATTATTTTATATTATTATTTATTTTATTTATATTTTATATTATTATTATTTTATTTATTTATTATAAATTTATTATATATATTTATTTATTATAATTTATTATAAATATTTATATATAATGAATATTTTTTAAAAATCTATAAAAATATATAAAATAATAAAAATTATTTTTATAAATAAAATAATGAAAACAATATCAATTATAATTCAATCTCGCTATTATACAGTTTGTCGAATAATATTCGTTTATTTTAGAATATTAATAAATTCTGTTATTGATATGTATTGAGAAGAAATAAAAAATGTAAATGCGAATTTTATTATGAAAAAAACTCTGTTAAAAATGATATGGTAACTTGTGAAAATATTTACGTTTGAATATTAACCTAAGCAACGAATCAGCTTCAACCTCATAGCCATAGAATCTTATAACCCCCTTTTGAATAATCCATAAAACCCTAAGCACCTAATCACCAAAATGATTTAAAGTGAACAAGATGAACATGCAAGCTAGACTGAAAGGGGAAATTTTATATCCACTAAGTGTTGCTACTGAACTTCAGATTTATGACATGTTGTTAATATTGAGCCACCTACAGGATTTCTGCAGACCAATATAAATCAATTTTAAACTTTTAATTTCAACTATTAAAAAGATTAAGAAATAAAATAAAATTATTCTGAAAAATAATAATTCCTATTTGTTTATATCTTAAAATATCAAAGAAGTTTTACAAATAATTAGAGAAAATGTATCAATATTCAAATTTATTAATATACCAATGATTGTAGTTGAATCGCTCAAGAGATCACGAGTTGTCATATAATTAATTTAAGATAAACTTCCTCCTCACTATTACATTTATATAGTGTATATTGTGTAATATAGTATAATGATCCACTTTTGAATTATTCGCCCTTAGAAATGTAATTTATTATTCGTTGAATAATACTTTTCATAAATTATTAGGGTAAATAGATATTTTTTTCTTAAAGATTTTATATTTTTTACACTTTATATAGTTATTAGTAAATAGTATAAATAGTTAAAAGAATATTTTAAAATTTATTAGATTACTTATTATAATATTTTTTTGTATAAATAAATAATTTAAAATAAATAATTAAATAAATAATTTAATTCATAAAGAAAATTAAAGATAAAATGATTGGTTTATAAGTTTTTATAGTTTGAATTTTATATCCAAGTTTTTATTACTTCTATAAAGATCCAAATTATTATTTTATTATACAAAAAAATAATTTTTTCTTTAAACTTATAATTACATTAAAATTTATGTTCTATTGATTTAAACAATCTTTAATTTATTATTAAAAGATATAAAAGAAAGAAAATTAATATTTTATAATAACACAATTTTTTTGAAATTTTAAAATTTCATTATCGCTAAGATAAATCGTCAATAATTTTTTAATTCATTCTATCTAGTGTCAATTCTAATCATAAGATAAAAGATATTAGAAAAATATCATTTTTAACCGAATTTAATCAAATATATCTTACCCACTAAATTTATTAAAAATCAAAAATTGACCTACCAATCATCCCTACTCGCACCAATAACAACGAAATTGGTGCCAAAAGCAACAAAATGATTAAACGGCGAACAGTGTCGTCGAACACGAAACAAGAGCAAGCATACGAAACATAGCAGAATACTTACCGGACTCCGAGACGGAGGGACTGCCCGCAGACCTGTCGGAGTTCCTGGAGCTGGCCGTGGAGCTGGTTGACGAGGCCGTGCCAAGCGAGCACTCGGAAACGCTGCGCCGTTTTGAGAGAAGAGCTGCAGCCGCTGCGGTTCCAGGTCCACAAGAGGAACCGGTCGGGGCGCTCGAGCTCAGCCCGTGGAGGCCGTGGAGACCGTGCAACCCGTGCAGGCCCGTCTGGTTCGTCAGCTGCTCCAGCCGTCGTCTCAGGAACCTCTGCTCGCGTGACAGCTGTTCCTTGTGCACGGCGTGCTTGCGCTCGCGCTCCTCCAGGCTCTGCAAGCACAATTATTGCACATGCGGTATTGCTCATTTAAATCCTTACTCATTATCAATTCTTGGAAATGGAATCTTGGAACGTGTCGAATGGAACTCGATATCAATTGTCAAACAATTTCGATTAATGTATTGTAATGCTAAATATCGATATTTCACGCTTATTTCCTGTCCTTGTTTCAGTTAAATCGAAAAAGAGAAGTCATTTCTTCGTTTAAATGTCCGTATTGAAGATGCTTAAATATGCAATAATTATTTTGATGTTTTTATGATTTGGATTTTGATTTCTTTATCACTTATATAATGTGAAAATAAATGACAAAATATATTTAATTTTAAGAGAGATACCTTTGATTATATGTATTTTTGTTATTATATAAGTTGTTGTTATTGTATCTACAAATTATTTATTATTTCATTTTTTCAAAACAATGGATAATTATAATTACAATATATTTCATATGATTTATAAAATTTTATGCATTTTTTATGTATATGTGCTATTAGACTTTTCAAAATGACTTTGGCTTGTATTCAAGATAATTTTCAATTTTCAATTCAATTTAAAGAATTGATTTTTTTTTATAAAGAATTATTTGATTATTTTATTTTATATGTAATTGTGAAAAATATATAATTTAATTAAATCATAATTTATTAATTATTTAATATTATTTAATAAATTTTATAAAAGGAACAAATTTATTTAATAGACAAATATATAAGCTCTTGTTACTAAACTAATAGAAAACTAAATAAATATCCGAATATTAATGAAAAATAAATCTTTGTTTATTTTTAAAATCTTGACCAGTGATTTTACACAAGTCTCTTAAAGTTTCACAAATCTCAATTAACATTTTTGTATATTAATTTCTGTATTCCATATGTATATGTATATATATATATATATATAACATTTTGTAAATAAAATAAAAATTATCACGGTTTCATATATTTATAAATAAAATAGAATTATATATTATCCAAAAATGATGGTATATAATTAAATGAAATAATTTAAATGGATTTTTTCTTTATTGAACAATTTTTAGATTGTTAGCCAATTTTTTGTTTTTAAACAAGATTTAGAAACTTTCAAACTATTTCCATATTTTCTAGTCAAGGAAACAAAAACTTTTTGTCTGTCATTCTGTCGTTTTAATTCCTTCTTGTAATTATTGTTCTTGTAATTATTTATATAAAAATGGAGGAAAAATTAGAGAAACCATTCAAAATTTACTCCTAGACTAGAATGATAAAGTTCTAACTTTTTAGAAATTCTCTTGATTTTTTTGTATTGTCTTTATAATTATTTATACAAAAAAAAAATAAAAATTTATATTGAGCACTTCTTAATTCTATTTAATGAAAAAGACTTTAAAATATTTTACTTAAAAGAGTGAAATTATAGTTTATTAAAAAATTTATGAATATTTCATTTATTATTATGGAATTATTTATGGAATTTATATATATATATAAAATATACATAATATGAAAAATATTCTAATATAATATCTATTCCTTTGTAACATGTATATGGACATAATAATTTTCATATTTGAAATATTTTGAATACTTATGGATTTATAGAAAATTCAAAAAATGCAAAAATTTGCAAAATATTCATAATATAATATGGAAAATTTTCCTTTTTAGTATCAAACACTATTAATTTTTATGCACAGGACAAAATTTATATAGATAATTGAGGATAAACTTTATATTACGGTTCACGGTTATTAAATAAAACTGAGATATCTGTCTCATATGTTCTGTCTGAAATATCACATATAATGATAAATATTCTTTTATATTCTCTTGAAACTTAATATTTGTATTTTCATTAATGCTATAATTCAGTTTTATATATACGTTTCAATTAAAATAAAAATAATAAATAAATTTATCGAAAAATAAAAATATATAAAATAAAAAAATAATTTTTCATAATAAATTATTCAATCAATTTATTTGTCGAATTTTTAAGCATTACATCTCGATTAATCAAATTGATTAACATTAGGAAAAACTATAATTAAATTTTTTAAACAACTGAAATTATCTCTATCTCTGTGTTTCGTATGAAAATTAATAATAATTTATTTTATTATTATATATTTATTATATATACATATATTCCTCATTATATATTAATATTATATATTCATATATTCTGTATTAATATTTAGAGCATTCAATATTAATAATAATCTAATATTCAATATTAGATATTCATCATTATACATATATTTATCATTATTCATATTTTAATTCATTAATTTTTTGTTTCGAACTCGTGATCTTCTCAATTTTTCTAAATTATCAATTTACAAAATTTTCTTTTAAAATTTATCAATTTTCGATAATATATTGTTCAAATAAGAATATTGTTCAAAAAATAATAGCAAATAAAAATTTCACTTAACTTAAGGAACAATAATCATCAAATTGATTACAAAATGATATCAATCAACCTAATCAAAAATAATATAATACAAAAAAAAAAAAAAAAAAAAAAAGATACACAAGACATTTAATATCCTAATTCGTCGTTCTCGTTTAAAAATTTCGCTACAGATAATCACGTTAACTCCGGTTTCGAGTATTTTTTTAATGCGGTTGAAACTGGTCGCGAAAGGATTTCGACGTTTCCGTTCGCGGAAGCGGAGTCTACGGCAATTGGCTTCCGCTTTTATTCCATCTTCATTTCGAAGATTAATTCCAGCGAGTGGATACGAAACTGGTGAAAAATCGAGGAATTAATGACGGGGTATGGGATGGAAACATGGCTCGCCAAGCTTCGAGAGGGATTACAATAAAGCCGCGGCTAATTCGCGGGCACCGACATGAGATTTAGATAATTTAAACTTCTCGTTGGGAATGTTCGGTTTCGCGTTAACGAACCGGCTCGGATATATTATTTTCCACACCCTGATTGGGGGATCTAGTTCAAAGAGTTTCGTGTTTTATTAATAACGAAGGGAGGGCGTTAAATTGAATGAGTGAAAATTTTGATTATTGAATTTGGATACGAAAATGGGGAGCTTTTCGGTTTGATAAAAGTGCAATTGGGCGAGTAAATAGGATTATTGAATGTAATTTTTAGTAGAAGAAATACTGAAGTTTGAGAAAATATGCACAAAGATATGGGATTATTGGTATACATTTCTATTGAACTATTTAATAAATTAATTGTTGAAGATTTATTAAATAATACGAGTGTAAATTCTAAGTGTGATTCTTCAAAATGAAAGAATGGAAAATATCTCTATAGAGATTGTAATTAATTTAATAAAAAAGATATTTAAAAATTAAAAAAATCTTTATAAAATGAATATTATGATATCATTTTTGTTAATAAATTGCGTAAAAAATTTCGTAATATATTAATTTCCAATCTTTTTTAAAAGACAATCCTTGTTTGCAATAGTCAAATAATCTAAAATCCATCTTTTTTTCATATTTTATTCAATTATACAAAAAAATAAATAGAATAAATTATATAATATATAGAAGATTGAAAACATAAAAGATTAAAAAATCAATATAAATCATATGTTTTGAAAATATATATATATTTTTTAAGAATTTTTTCTTTCAAACTTTCAATTGGCAAGTTAATTAAGTAGTTTATTTACTTAAATATTTTAAACAATAAAAAATTCTTAACTACATCAAAAAGGAAATTACACTAATTAATATTCAAACTTTGCATACAATATTTTATTTTTAGAAATGAATTATTAAAAGATCTGATTATTAAAAAAAAACATTAAAAATTTGATTTATAAAAATATAAAATATTTATTGTTTATGATCGTGAATCGTTAATATTTTTTTAGTATTTGCTGATGATAGATCACAAATCATTTTTATTTATTTATTATTTATTACATACAATTAAACTTTTGTATTTATCAAATTCAATATTCGTCAAATATATATTAAAAAAAATGTTTCGATATTTTTAAAAAAAATCTAATATTCGCTATCAAAAATTTCTTACTGCATGATTCATTTTCTTTTTTTTTTTTTTTTCATAAAAAAAAAACAAATTGGATTTCATTTTTATATTTTTATGATATTGTAACATATATTTTTGACATATATAAAAAAAAATTGTATCATCAGTTGAATATTATTTTTTGTTAGGGCTCGCAATTCATAAATTGGAGATTCATATCATAACAAATTATTGCTACTAAGAAATTATAATCTTTATTAGAATTGAAACTAATTTAACTTATTTAGAATATTTTTTGTAAAAAAAATTTACTAAACGTTTAATAATAAAAACATAATTGAACAAAAATAATAATCCCAATCTTCAACAACAAATTCCAAGCTTCAGCTATATTAAAATTCGATTTACATTTGTTCAATTACAAGATTCGGTCAACCACTATTCAAAACTCTTCAGACAAGCAGAAATATATAATTGATCGTTTCAATCATTTTGATTTGAGATAATTTAAAATAATACTATGACTTTTTCTTCTTGTTTGTTTTAATGCATTGCAATTATTGACATTATAATATATCTAAAAGTCGAAGTGATTTAATATTTTATTGTAATTTAATATTGTATTGTATTTTTGTATTTTTTAGATAATAATTCATAATTATAATCGTAGAAAATGTAGAAATATAGTTAATAATGTATTATTTTTATCATTTATAATAACGAAAACATTAAAGTAATGGAACGATATAGAACAGACAAAAAAATTATGAATTATTATAAATATTTATAGTAATATGTAAGAAATACATAGAAATATACACAATAAATATACATATGTTTGTATAATTACTTATAGTATGTATATTTGTATATTACTTATATAATTACTTGTATATAATTACTTATGAAATTTTCATTAAAAGTTATGAGAATCTTTGTCATCTATAATCGAGAAAAATATATTCCAAAAATATAGAAAAATAGATTTTAAAAATAATTAAATTTTGTTAAATATCTATAGTCAACATAA